GGCCTAGTGGGGGACTAATCAAAAATACGTTGTTCACTAAAAGTCGGCTAGGCCTAGTGGGGGACTAATCAAAAATACGTTATTCACTAAAAGTCGGCTAGGCCTAGTGGGGGACTAATCAAAAATACGTTGTTCACTAAAAGTCGGCTAGGCCTAGTGGGGGACTAATCAAAAATACGCTATTCACTAAAAGTCGTCTAGGCCTAGTGGGGGACTAATTTTGTCTGGAGGTGTGGGTAGGCAGAGAGAGAGAAAAATAAAGCAATCTTTCACACCTTCTTTGATAACAAGAATATTTCACACATAGTAGATACATTTAACAACTTATTTAAAGTCGGTAAAATTATTGACGTAGGTTAACTTTGTTTAATTAGAATAGACCACTTCGGCTTCCACGTGGCAATCTTAGCCTACAGTTATAATTGTATCATTATACTTGAATTTCTAAATACCTAAAGACGGTAGATAACTTGGAATGAAATTATCTTTTTACTCAGTGGGTCAGAAGTTCTATACAGTTGGTGCTTAATCATTTACTACGAAAGGTACAAATTTAATTATTCTTTGTCTGTCTGTAGTTAAGCACAAAGCTACACAATAGGCTATCTGTGCTCTGCCCACCACGGGTATCGAAACCCGATTTCTAGCGTTGTAAGTCCCCAGACATACTGCTGTGCCACTGGGGGGCTATTGTTTGTTTCGGAGCAATAGTTTGCTCGAACCTGAGTATTTATTAATACAAGATACCTTAATAGCGACTAAATACTAAAAACAGTGGTAACTTTCCAGTCGTTGTATAATGCTTATACATTTCTAAACAATCTTAGTTAAAGTTTCACTCTGTATTGCCAATAATCATAATTAAAGAAGTTAGCAACAACTGCTGTGTGTTTGGAAATACAAAAACAACAACATTATATTAAATTTAACAACGCGATTTCCTGGAAGAGTACTTTAGTTAAAATAACAGCATTTCCAGACATCTCGTGTTGAACTAAATATTCTTAGAACGGCCTCAATACCTCCTATATGAAACGTGTGATGCTATCACGGCAGTACAAAAGAAGTGCAAATTTACTCTTATAGCGTTCGGATAATACTCTAGCACGATATGTTAAAACGAGTTAACTCTATGATTAACACTCTTCTCGAACTTTCACCAGTCGTGAGTTTTATTTTAAAGCTATATTGAGAGTAACAAGTTTAAATTCTGAAATTTAGAAAAAAAAAACTTAATTGTAGATAACTTATCACCTGCCCAGAAAGCGCAATTTACTGTAAGTGTTTGTTTGCTTTTAAATTTCGCGTAGAGCTACATGAGGGTTATCTGCGCTAGCCGTCCTTAATTTAGCAGAGCAAGACTAGAGGGAAGGCAGCTAGTTATCACCACCCACCGCCAACTCTTGGGCTACTCTTTTTACCAACGAATAGTGGGACTGACCGTCACGTTATACCGCGTCCACGGTTGAAATGGTGAGACAGGTTTGGTGTGACAGGGATCATAATTACAAGTTCCACAAATTGTGTTAAGTGTGCTAATAAGAACTGAAATAAACGAAATGAGAAAGGTTTTACGGAGGAGGTTTTGAAATTCGCAATGTCGGAACACTCAAACCTTAAAAAAATGAAATAATTTGGTGTTTAATATTAAGTAAAAAGCTTCACAATGAGCTATCTGTGATGTGCCCAACACAAATATCGAAATCTGATTATTGGCGTTATAAGTAAGTCTTCATATTTTCCACTGAGTTAATGAAGAGGAAGGAGCTGGTGTTTCAGAGAATGAAGCCTTACAGAACTAAATAGTTAGTTATTGAAAAGTAATCAGGACTTATTGGTTATATTGTTCTAAATCAGACTCTCTAGAAACGAACGTACATATTTTATAGTATAATAGCTTTTAAACTTAATAAGTTTAATGTACTTAATGTACACCGTGGTGTTAAATCTCTTGTGTTTTATTCCATCTCATCAGTTCTGGTCTACCTTAACTTCGTTTAACACACACAAACAGTTACTTTTTCAGTTAAATCCCTCTCGGGGCCAATCTAAACAAAGTAAACTTACGTACACGACATACAATCACAATTTAAGTTAACATCAAGCACTAAATAGTGATTGTCAACGAAATAGCACAGACTAATCTGTGAGACCTAGAATTCAGTTCTGCGGTCTGTGAAGTACCAATTCTGATAAGCCTATAGTGCCCAAATACCATTGAATATTGCAGTTAATCGACGCCGAGTAAGTAAATACCACCATGTGGCCCAATTAACTGAGCCGATAACTCCTCGTATCCTGACATGCTGGATAACTTTTCAGCTAGCACCTTGTCATTGAGTTTGATAAATAGAAAAGATGTCTATAGAAGTCCTCAGAGGTCAACAGGGCCACATGAAGGTAATATAAAACATGAATTATTTTTCACCACCATGTACATTCCCCATGTTTGTATCTCTTTTTTTTTCATTTATCACATTTTACTAAATGTGTTAAAGATTTATTAAACGTCTTGTTTTGGTTCATGGAATTAGAGGAACTGGGTACTCGTGCAACCGGTTTATGGGTTCGATTGTTTCAGTACAAAGCAACATAATTAGCTATCTGATCTCTGTCCACCGCAGGAATCAAACCCTGGCTTTTGGTATAGTAAGTCCGTAAACTCACCGCTAACCCACCAGAGAAACAGTTTATTGGTGACTCATTTATATATTGCTTCAATGTGCTACGTTTTGCCCTTTCTCCTTGTTCGACTTGTTCACTAGGGGAAAGCAGGCAACATTACACCTAACATATTTATGAAATGATCACACAGGTTATACCAGATAAAACTATGTAAGTATTCTATGTTTTAGTATGCTATTGAACGGTAGACCGTTTTACAAATCCACCCCCCCCATGTTCGTTTGTTTTGAGATAACATAACACATAAAATGAGATAACATAACACAAAGAAACATAATTTTGCAGCACTAATGACAAAATTCGATAATTTGTTCGTGTATCTATTCAACCATCTATCTTCAAGTACGTAAAAACTATAAATGCAATTCCCAATCCGAACGACACCTTGTGCGATGCAGGTCAGAGAGCATTGATATAGCTGTAATTAATTTTGAACTACTGACAATATGGAGAGCAGCCAGTTGACAGAATCCGCCGCCACGATGATTTTGCCCAGCCCATTGGACCAAATAATGGGATATGCTATAAAGCGCCCAAATCTGCAAGTGTAGAGCGTGATTAGCAGCATTGTGGATCCAACCTAGGACCATGCGATCCGCAGCCGGACGCGCTGTCCACCAATTGCACACATGTACAAACCTGAATTTTAAGAGTTATCTACGTTAGAATGAATAACAAAACTTCTCCAGGGCTATACAGAAAAATATGATATTAAATTGTGGTCATTTCATTATCCTGTAAGATTTCTAAGTCTAAATATTTCTGATCGTTATAGACCCACCAGGTCAACCTACAATAGTAGGTAACACTGAAGGAGTGGTCATGCAAACAGATTACATTCAGAGTTTTGATTGTGTTTCGCTTGGAGGAAATCCCCACGCCACCCTTCAGTGGTATAGAGGAAATAAACAGGTAAGTCGTGTAGTTTAGTTTAATATGAGAAACAATAGCGATAATATATTTATATTTCATCATATCTATTTCAGTATAAATATTTATTTCTTACTACGCCTGTAAATTAGCTTAGTTTAAAAATCCAATACCATTGGATATTTATCTTTCACTCGGCGTGTACGTTAAGTTTCAGTAGTAAATACAATGATATATTTATCTTTAACTTGACGTGTACATTAAGTTTCAGTAGTAAATACAATGATATATTTATCTTTAACTTGACGTGTACATTAAGTTTCGGCAGTAAATACAATGATATATTCATCTTTAACTTGACGTGTACATTAAGTTTCGGTAGTAAATACAATGATATATTCATCTTTAACTTGGCATGTACATTAAGTTTTGGTAAGTACATGCCAAGTTAAAGATAAATATATCATTGTATTTAATTAAGTTTCGGTAGTAAATACAATGATATATTTATCTTTCACTCGACGTGTGTGTTGGTTAAATCAATATTAAATAGCGTAATACATTTACCACGTTCCCACGTGAAATAAATCACCCGGCAGTTTTTTTCCCCATTACCTAGATTCGTATTAGGCTTAGTGTTCAGTACAAGCAGCCTCAAACTACAACTGAAATGCGTTTAGCATATAGGAAACATTTCATTCTAACTGTCTCTCTCTCTCTCTCTCTTTTATTCTCGCTAAAGGTTATACATTTAATAAGGAAATGGGAGATTAAAATCCAATAAAACTGGTTCCTTTTTTCCATAAAACAATTATTTTTGTCTGTTTGTGAACACTATGTTAAACAACTGAACAAAAGCTGAGAATTAATAAAAACTCTACTCATATTGGACTTCGTAACATTTTTTTCAGTCTCCAATATTCTACATGTTTAAGCCACCACCTCTAGTAAATCCTAATTACCACACATAGCAGCTAATGTATATTTTCCGACATGTAACTTACGATTTTTTTAGAGGCATTCTTTGTCTACAGTTTAATAAATTCTTTATATAGACCACACGAACAAAAGAATGATTTATGAGCTTTTCTGCTTGATTTTATTACGTCACTGTTGCTTCAACGTGAAACCTTGTATTACATATTGCTTTTTTTTTTCAATATGACAATTTAAAGGTAACTCTTAGATTTCGTTTCAGTAACAACAATCAAATGTCATTATTTTTAAATATTTTTATCAAAGTCACACAGATGCAGGAAATGCAAGTTTTAATAGTGTACCGATAAACGTAGTCATTTTGTTAATTCCCACAACCGACATTTACATTTTTTTTCTCTCATTTTGATCAATTTTAATAGGTTTTTTTCAGTTGAATTTAAAACCACATGTAAATAAACTCAGTCATATAGTTATTTCAATTTATTTAATATATCTCAATAAACTGTTTTGACTGGGAATGGTTTACATTTATTGATAATATTTTACAGATAAGTACAGTTTCTCGTGTTACTGGGAGTGGGGTATCGAGTACTTTGGTGATAAAGGCACGACGGGAGGACAATGGCGCCATCTACCGGTGTGAAGCTACTAATCTCGCAACCCTTGAACCTCTCGTGGCCTTCATGAAGCTTTCTGTGAGATGTAGGTAGAAAAAAATATAGAATTCAACTGTACACACGTTTTTTATAGTAACTTATCATTATATCCTTCTTTGTAGTGACTTGCCATTATATCCTTCTTTATAGTAACTTGTCGCTATATCTTTTTTGTAGTAATTTATCATGATATCCTTCCTTGTAGTAACTTGCCATTATATCCTTCTTTGTAGTAACTTGCCATTATATCCTTCTTTGTAGTAACTTGCCATTATATTCTTTTTGTAGTAACTTGTCATTATATCCTTCTTTGTAGTAACTTGCCATTATATCCTTCTTTGTAGTAACTTGTCCATTATATCCTTCTTTGTAGTAACTTGCCATTATATCCTTCTTTGTAGTAACTTGCCATTATATCCGTCTTTGTAGTAACTTGCCATTATATCCGTCTTTGTAGTAACTTGCCATTATATCCGTCTTTGTAGTAACTTTCCATTATATCTTTTTTGTAGTAACTTGTCATTGTATCCTTTTAATGACATTTTGATTGGAAAACACAAGTTCTGATTTTATGTAATATTCAGCATAAGGGAAAACCTAATATGTACAATCCACTACAAAATGTGGTCAAAGAGCTATCAGTCTGTTTCCGCACCAGTAAAAGCCAATAAAATCTAGTAATTCTGAGTAATGGCGAATTTTATTCAACCGTTACTTTTGTTTACATTATACCTATGTAGAAAACCGAGTCGTTTGGACTTTGAAGAAATATAATTTATTGATCTGGTAAAAACTTTATAGAGATATCTCATGCATTCAATATCACATTCTTTTGAAACAGGTAATAAATAAACAAAAAATTCTCTTTTTGATTTTGCTTCTGAAGTCCCTCCTAGAAATGCGTCCATTGTTGTCCAACCAGCAGAACCTCGAGCAGGAGAAGAGGTAATATTAATATTTGTCATATACCACTTGGTCAGTATTTTGCATCAATGAACCTTGTTTTAAGCTAGCAGTACATATTAGATGTGTCCAAAATACCACAATTCTAAATGACAAATAAACCAGTAAATAGGTTAATTGTGCTTCATTCACCATATTTTATAAACACTGTATGTAGAAACCAGGTAGAAAGAGATCTTTGTTCAAATTTCTAGGAATTCCAGAAAGTAGCATCTGTATCTAGAATAATAATAATAATAATAATACTTGAACGAATTTAAATAAAACCAATGACTTTACAAACAAACTAATATTCCATACTGAAAGTAGCATCAAACCAATGACTTTACAAACAAATTAATATTCCATTTTGTAAGTAATATCAAGTTAAACAAATTAATATTACATTTTGTAAGTAACATCAAGCCAATGACTTTACAAACAAATTAATATTACATTTTGAAAGTAACATCAAGCCAATGACTTTACAAACAAACTAATATTCCATACTGAAAGTAGCATCAAACCAATGACTTTATAAACAAATTAATATTACATTTTGTAAGTAACATCAAGCCAATGACTTTACAAACAAATTAATATTACATTTTGTAAGTAACATCAAGCCAATGACTTTACAAACAAATTAATATTACATTTTGTAAGTAACATCAAGCCAATGACTTTACAAACAAATTAATATTACATTTTGAAAGTAGCATCAAGCCAATGACTTTACAAGCAAATTAATATTTTTACTTAAAGCTAAGCTAAATAAAATTGACGACCTTTAAAAAAGAACTTGATAGTTTTTACTTGAAGTTAAGTTGGACAAACAAATCTTATGAACAAATTTCGCTTGAAATATATTACTCTCTCGCATTTTATTTCTTGTGTCTGAAATTTGATTACAAAGAAAACGTTCGAGATCGCAGAGATATTCTTAAGAAATCTGATTTCAAAGATCGATTTTCCCGGACTAAGTAGAATAAAGAGCTTAACCTTATCACGGCCCGGCATGGCCACGTGGTTAGGGTGCTCGACTCGCAAACTGTGGGGGTCGTGGGGGCGTTATAATGTGACGGTCAATCCCACTATTCGTTGGTAAAAGAGTAGCCCAAGAGTGGGTGGTGATGACTAGCAGCCTTCCCTCTAGTCTTACGCTCCTAAATTAGGGACGGCTAGCGCAGATGGTCCTCGTGTAGCTTGGCGCGAAATCTATAACAAACAAACAAACTAATCTTATCAAATATTTCTCTGACTTACAGTATCAAAAAAAAATAAAAAATTCAGGCTATCTCACTACACCTTGTACGTTATTCAGAACTACTGATCTCTTTAACGGAATAAGCATAAATTAGGATCTTGTACGATGATTGGCAGTTTATTTAACATCACATTTATTCGTTTCTAAATTAACTATACTTGCTTAAATAATGAGTGTTTACCATCTGGATTTTTTACTCCATAACTAGTGCAGAAGTTCTGGGCCGTTTCGGGGCTCTTTCTCTTATGAACACAAATAAATAAACAACAAAGATTTGATGAAAGTACAGTCTTGAGGTAACAATGTAATTACATTCATACCACGAGGGGTCGATTACATAATTACAAACACGATGATGTATACAAGCTGATTTAAAACTTAGATCCGGTTTTATTATAAAGATCATAAAGTGAAACAAAGAAACAAGCCTTTTGGAAACTAGCAAGTTCTTAACTTGGTTACGAAATCCTCCCTCCGTTCCCCTCATGGCTCCATGGTAAATCTGACAACTTATAACGCTGAAAACCGGGTTTCGATACTCGTGGTGAGCACAACAGAGATAGCCGCTTGTGTAGCTTTGTGCTTAACAAACAACAAAATAGTTACTAGTCAAATGGGAAAATTATAAGTGTTATCTATATTGTGCTGGAAATGTCTAATATATGTATGCATTATAAAAGCAAAGAGCGACGTAATGTTTAGGTGGATATGAATTTTTAATGTTCCATATCTGACAACAGTGAGACAGTACGTTATTACTTGTTAGATTCTGGTACGATGTTCAACCGACAGCAGTAATCCTGCAGCGCGGATAACGTGGAGAAAGAACAAACAAGAGATTACTGGTGATCAAGTGGAGGTAGAAAAAGCTAATTTTGGAGGGTACGTAACCACCAGCTCACTCAAACAGAAGGTTACATCAGAAGATGATGGAGCGACCTTCATCTGCTTAGCCTCCAATGGAGTAACTGAGAGAGTAGCTCGAGACGAATGCGTCATTTCTGTTCGATGTTAGTATCTCAAATTGTTCTCATATCTTATAATTTGTGATAAGAAGAAATACGGACGGGCGGACATATAGAGCTTCTAGTTTTACGTTATCGTGTCTAATTGTTTTTTAGTATTATATTCTGTCAGAGAGAGAGAAATACAGATAGACGGACGGACAGATAGACAAATATAGCTCTAGGTAACTGCATGATTTCACCTTTATGTTAGTGTGTCTAATTTTTCTTAAGTGTCTTATCTTGTCATACTAAGTAAATGTAGGTGGACGGACAGAATGCTCCCCTCCCAGTGGCTCAGCGGTAAGTCTGAAGGCTTATAACACTAAAAATCGGGTTTCAATACCCGCGGTGGGCAGAGCATAGATAGCCATTTGTAGCTTTGTGCCTAATAACAAACAGCCCAATCCAAACAGAACTGAAAATATGTTTGTGATTTCGGTTCCATATTAGAATATCAAATTATTAATAAGAGTCATATTGTGTCACAGAAAGAAATACAGACAGACAGACAGAGCGAGCAAAAGATGACAGCGGATCACCTGAAATTACGTTGAATATTGTTTATTAATCTGTTTTTTGCTTTACTGATTATAAGGCGTTACGCTTTCTGAAAAAACAAACAGGTAGATGTGAGCACGCGCGAGTATTTAACTGAATAGTAGCACAAGTAATGTAGAGTAAATTTATAAATATTGCAAAATGTGACGCAAAACTCAGTGTCATGCTTGTCTGAAACAGCTTGAGGATCCAGTTACTGCTCCGTACAAGGGCGCATTTCACAGACTAGAAATAAAACTAGCCTGTACACAGTTACAGCGTTTCTTTCCACCTAGCAAACGAAAAGCTTGTGCAGCTAACCTTTAGTGTTTATGCCAAGCATAATCATCGTTAACACAATTCTCCTCTGAAAAAAAATCTATAAGTCCTAAACTTAAACTTCAACGTTCTATATATGAGCACAGCGCATGTATCCAGTTTCGTAGCTTTGATTTTATAATACGTACTCATATTTTATTTAAATATTAGTTTTGTGTATTTGCTAAATTAAATTTTTTTTGGTTTGAGTTCTCGAGAAAACAAGATTTAGCGACAGCAAATGCACTGTTTACATCAAAAATATATATAGCTTTCACCTTTTGTTCCCACACAGCGACCGTAATGTCATAAAAAACAAGCTTGTAAAAATCATATTCGTACTTGCCATCAGTTTTATTCAATAAACATCGCTGAAGTTATTAGATTATACAATATTTGATTGTAATTGGTTTATTAACTGGTAAAGAGAGATTGGTTTGGTTTGGCTTAATGGTGATCGTAACCAGATTGTGCAAACAAGGATTCATGGTTCGCGAACCGAAGCAACACAATAATAGTAGTCAACGGAGTTTGCTGCTCATTAGTTACCTTCTTTCGAACTTATCACTTCTAAAACGAAGTGTAGCCTTACGCAAGAAAAAAATGTGCAACAAACGCACTGAGAGAAAAAACGTAGATCTTGACCATGATAATAATTAATTATTTCACATAATGGATGTGGATATAAATGTGGATTAAAAAACAATTAAAAACTAAACTGATTAATAATTATTTTTACTTTTCACACGTGAGATTTAGACATAGAGAATCATGTTATATCGAATTTATAACATGAAAAAAAATGTTGTTTTATTATTATTATTAGATCTCATACAATTCTTAAGTTTTGTTATTATGAACTAATGAGAAAGTTAATGATATTATTATCGTTTTATTAGACACGGAGGTACTTTCTATGTAACATTCTAAATGATAATGAAAACGTTATACAAAATCATAAAAGCTATAAATACAGTTGATATGTTCATAACCCAATCGTTTGATTGTATAGATATCGCAAAGTTTTGATCACAATAAGATATTTCACCTTTTTCTTCTGCAGACAAACCGGAGTTTTTGGAGCCACTAAAGCACGTTTCTGTCTTAGAAGGCGAGTCATTTGCTGTCAATGTGTCAGCTATAGGTAATCCCAATGTAATCACGTACTACTGGTTTCGAGGCGGTGTTCGTGTTCCTGCTCAGGAAATGACTTTAACAAGAAAAAACGGTTACATTGTAATTCCGCGAATGAGAGCAGAAGGGCCTGTGCTTCACGTCCGAGAAACGACTCGGAAAGATTCAGGGAACTATTTCTGCGTCGCTCAGAATACTGAAGGATCATCGAATGCCACAGTAGAGTTCAATGTTTTGTGTAGGAGTTGAATACGATTCAATATTTTGTTCTTCCGAAATTGTCTAATTGATGTTTAATTGGATAATTCACAAAATAAGATAAGATAATAACTTTACACCAACATTTAATTGGATAGTTCCCAAAATAAGATAAGATAATAATTTTACACCAATATTTAATTAGATAATTCCCAAAATAAGATAAGATAATAACTTTACACCAACATTTAATTGGATAGTTCCCAAAATAAGATAATATAATAATTTTACACCAATATTTAATTGGATAGTTCCCAAAATAAGATAATATAATAAGTTTACACCAATATTTTTTAAATAGTTCCCAAAATAAGATAAGATAATAATTTTACACTAATATTTAATTAAATAGTTCCCAAAATAAGATAAGATAATAATTTTACACTAATATATAATTGGATAATTCTCAAAATAAGATCAGATAATAATTTTACACTGTCAATGAAAAATGGAAATAATACGTATTCACTTTTCTCTGATAAGAATCTATATTTTGATATGAACGAAATATATGAATAAGTATCAGGCTGTTAAATTAGAGTCTGTGTATCTGAAAAGCTTCTTAATTTTTATTCTAACTGAACAAATGATTGCATCAGTATGTTATTTCTTTAAGCATTCATTAAGTTTGAAAGGAACGTCTATCTTGAAACAAATAACAAACAATTAAACCTCTTGATCAACGTAAGGTAACACTTTAGGACGGAAAATGTTTCCTCTGAGAAAGCCTGAAACATAGTAGCTGTATATTAAATTACAGGTTGTATATTTTCAGATCCGGCTATAATTCTTAACTTAACCGAGAACCAGAGGGTTACTGAAGGAGGGAACGTTATCTTGGAATGCTGGATAGAAGCTAATCCTATAACACACAAAACTGTAATCTGGAATAAACATGGATCGTCAAAGAAACTACCAAGCAAGTCTTTCCTTTTAGGCAGATCACTCCTGGAACTGTTAAACGTGACCAGAGAAGCAGCTGGAAAATACGAATGTAAAGCCTTTAATGGAATAGGCCAAACAGATGTGATGGACGTCGAAGTTATTGTGATGTGTGAGTAACCATGTCGGATATCATCTGTATGCTTGGTACTTATTACAATCACTTATAATCATGTCAAATTCGGTTAAATATGGTTATATTAACACAATGGCTCATTTTGGTAACAAGTGCAAAAATGTTAAGCTGAAGAAAGATTCCCGAACATTACAATATTAAAAATGTTTTACCCCATTCTCTAAAAATCTATTGAACCATGATTTCTTATTTGATATTTCGTTATTTTTTCTACCTTTTATATGTAAAACACAAATAACTGTAATGGTGGCTGGAAGCGACATCAGTGTTTACAACGTATGGTGTGTTAGTATATTTAATTTATCTATAACTGAAAATTTATTCAATGATTCTGTGTTTGAAATTCGGCCCAGCATGGCCAGGTGGTTAGGGCGCTCGATTCGCAATCTGCGGGTCGCGGGTTCGAATCCCCGTCACACCAAACATGTTCGTCCTTTCAGCCGTGGGAGCGTTATAATGTGACGGTCAATCCCACTATTCGTTGGTAAAAGAGTAGCCCAAGAGTTGGTGGTGGATGGTAATGACTATCTGCCTTTCCTGTAGTCTTACACTTCTGGATTAGGGACTGCTAGCGCAAATAGCCCTTGTGTAGGTTTGCGCGAAATTCAAAAAACAAACAAACTTGTTGAAATTCAATCACACAATGAATATACGTTAGTCTTAACGAACTCTTTCTTATATTAGTTAATTTGTTTTATAATTTTCTCGCAAAGCCACACAACGGCTATCTGCACGTAGGTGTTCCTAATTTTGAAATGATAGTCCAGAGAGAAGGCAGCGAATTAACAGCACCTACCATCACCTCTTGAGCTACTCTTATCTGACCAAATAATGGGATTTGACTGTCACTTTTTAGCAAACCCACGGTCACAAAGTGCTGAGCACATTTTTACGACAGCAGGATTCGAACAATAAATCTCCATATTCACAGTTAGAACACGTTGATCATTGTAACACGCCCTGCCCAGTGTCTCTTAGTAAAACGTGTTTATCAAAAATAGTTATTTGATTGGTCCAGCAGGAAAGACCACCTTTAAAGGGCAGTTGGGCTGAAACCAGTTTACGAAACTTATTGATCTTACGTACATTTTGTTTTTAGAAATGACATAGCTAACAAAACTGCAGAATAAAAAATGTATAAAACTTAGAGGTTTCGAGCAATCTTTATAACTTAAGATGTGGAGTTTTTACGCTACCTGAGTTGACATTACTACCACAATCAGTTTTGGTTTGTTTTGAATTTCGCGAAAAGCTCCACGAGGGCTATCTGCGCTAGCCGTCCCTAATTTAGCAGTGAAAGTCTAAACGGAAAACAGCTAGTCATCACCACCCATTGTCAACTCTTGGGCTACTATTTTACCAACAAATAGTGGGATTGGCCAATCACATTATAACGCCCCCACGGCTGAAAGGGTGGCACGATCATTTAAATCTACAAAAATAAACTCGTATTTCTCGATATCCTCACATTCTTGTACATGTTTTGTAAACGATAACAAATAAGAAATTAAGATCTTACAAACAGCTACTGTAGGAGAAAGGCGAGAAAACTTATCAGAATACTTTAATTTTTTTTTCAGTGTCAGGATAATATATTTTTAAAAGGTAACATAAGCTGTTTTAAATTCCAGCATGAAACACCTTCACATGAAAATCCTACAAGACGACACAAATACTTTTTTAACATCTCATTCAGTATAAGCTTGTTAACGTTGACGATTCAGGCCGATTTGATTATTGAAGAATCTTACAATTCTCATCTATTTTGACGTGGCTATTTGAATGTTGTTTTCAGATTGACTGATTTATTTTACTTGTATTCGTTTTATGTAACATTTTATTACATCCCACTGGTTAACATTTAGCAAGTAAAATAAAGGAAAAACAATACACATACATATAACTTGGCTAAACGATATAGACTGAATGATGCGTATCTATTGTTATTTAACTTAAGGATATAAAGATACTTATGGATTCACTAATTTATTACAGTAAATATATCTTACAAAGATAAGTGTGAGTACATATATATATATATATATTTATAAAATTGGTTGTATTTAATTCATAATCTGGTTTTATGTAAATACTGTTGAAGTACAAACTTCTTGTTAGTATGAATTAAAAATCTATTGCATTACAATCTGCACGAGAGATAATTAAGCAACAGATAATTATACTTTCGTCTGAAATATTTTTTTTATCTGGCTTCATTTTGTCTTG